CAAATGTGCCCCAAGGCCGCTAACAGGAATGCGTCAAATAACTCCTTACAAGCAACTTAATGGACACTTGTACTTACAACAGCTTACCAGAGAGAGTAATTGTTGGCAGCTGACCGTAATTCAGGCCCGCGACGCGGTAGAGATAAAATCCATACTTTGACGCCGAGTCATTCGAGTCAACAGGGGGTACTGGCTCCTTCGAAGTGGAACTTGTTCCTGACGATGGTAGGCAGGTGCTCTCTTGAAGCGGAAATGATGACATGGGAGGTGAAGGGCGTTAATCAGTGGGGTTGGTGCTTTCCTGAGAAAATCTGATGATTTCCGTAAAAAAACGTCAAAAGCAACCACGCGATCGGCGCTGAAACTATCAACTCAGGCGCGCCGCCCGGTTAGCACGCAACTTTGGATATCATGACGTAATTCGGAGACAGTTGTTGTTAAACTAATAACCTCTGGGTTGATTTAAGTGCGACTTATGAAGTACACACTGTTTTAGTGGTGTTATTGAGTGTTGGAGGTGTTCGAAAACTACTTCATATTTGAAACCGACGGATGAAAAAATCGGATTTAAAGAACTGGAATTCAACACTAAATTTAAACAATTTCCTCCGAGTGTGAAAATATAACGAAGCTGGAATTTCGACACGAACGAATTGCCGATGTTACAAAATATGTCTTGGCTGTTTAACACCGATGTGCATGCATACGGTGCGCTCTGTGTGTCGGATGCGACAAAATAACCTGTTGGTGAAGTCTGAATGAGGTCCAACTAAAACCTTTTTGATACATCAGATGATTAAACTGAACGGGCCGATTAAAAAGAACAAATTTAAATGACTGTGCGCTCCTATAACACTGTCACACGCGAGTCTGAGAGCGTTAGTTTACAAAACCATTCCTCAAAATTAATATCAATTGTCAGTAGCGTGAACCCGATTAAACAGTTCCACCACAGACGTATTAAATAGTATTATTTCTGTTTGGGAAATGGAGGAGAAATTGTGCACAATCGGTGATATTTTTCAGGTTGTCATCGGATCGAAATCAAGGCAACAAAAGGCACTCTAAAACAGGTTTCAAACTTGGATCTCTTGTTTAATTGTCACTCCGCCATTACGGCAGGCTATCAGCAAGTTTTTCATCGGCAAACACGGCATATGCAATTGTGAAACTCCAAAAGACGGTGTGGAAAGTATGAAAACGCGTGGATACTTTTATAAATCCAGTTGTGCCCAAACAGAATGTGACGAATAGTGAGAGGGGGTAGGTACTGACTGTCAGTATCATCATAAAAGCTTGCACGGTGTGCATTAATATCCAACTACAAACAAAGTTCCGAATCTGCCACAGTAAAACGGATCCGCTGGAAATAAATTTGGCAGCCGGACCCCACCTTTAAGGTGCTTCCTCTGAGTGCTCAGTGGATATTCTGGAGGAAATTGTATTCGCAATTTGTAGTCGCATTCGTGCCTGTCCGCTCTGTCAGCTTTAACCATATACGACCGTTCGACCGTCATGCCCAGCGATGTCCACCCTGTGCTCCACAACAAGGTGAGGCAGCCATGATGACTCGCGCGTGAATGAGTTTTTACTGAGAGTAGGCTTCCGCAGAATCTACTGCACTCCCTCCTCCTCCCACCTGGAGCTGGTGTCAGAACAAAGTCAGGAAGACCGGATGTGAAGGAGGGTGCAGGCGGCTGGCAATACCGGAACCGCACCTAGGCGTACCGCCACGTCCCCTGGTCTTTGGTTGTTTAATTCTAGCAAGTAATCAACTTCCTTCCCTCCTATACTGGCCATATACTGATTGCGACATACGACAGTTCGACCGTCGTACCCAACGATGTCCACCGTGTGCTCCACAACAAGGTGAAGCAGTCACGATGACTCGCGCGTGAAGTAGTTTCTACTGAGAGTGGACTTGCGCAGAATCTACCTCACTCCCTCATCCTCCCCACCTGGAGTTGGTGGCAGGACACAGTCAGGAAAACCGGATGTGCGGGGGGAGGCGCAGGTAGATGGCGTGGACGGATAGGCACTCCTTGGCCCACAACAAACACTTAACCAGGATTCTAACCAACGGCAAAACAAACGGGTCAGAAAGGGGGGCATTACTGAGAAACCATGTTAACGACCTGTATACCCAACGGGAGCGCAAGCGCGTCTACCGGCAGGGAACCGGGTGTCAGAGAACTGCCGGCGCATACCAGACCGCGAGGGCCATAGTTTACTGAATCATGGCATAGCAGACGCAAACAAACTTTAAGTTAACCATATACGCACACTGGAAATGACGTTCTGGCGATTCAAAAGCTTCTTACGCATGATTGCCGAATGGTAAGGCTCTAGGCATGGCATTTTCTAAATTTGCCTGACCAATCAGAGCACAAAGTACAATTATCTGGAAGCAGTAATCAGGAGAGTCAAGTAAGGAGACAACGTGTTCCTTGAGAGGGGACAGGTGGAGTACGGCTTACCTGGATGAGCAAACTCGAGGAAGTGATGGGGATTTTTGCGATAGCACTGACTGCCATATTTGCAAATCGGCAGGCCTTCCCTTTTGAAACTCAGATCGGTGTCGTCAGTCCTGGCTGCCTTATTGTGCTCTTGACGCCGGTTTGAGGGAGAGTGGGATCTTGAAAAAGAAATTAATTTGCTTGGAGAACGAGGCACAAACCTCTTTTGTGATGAACTCCCTTCACTCGTCTCATTGATGTGGGACATAGTTCACACGTTCCAAATTTGGTACCTGCATAAAAGGAATACACGGCAGGTTCAGGTGACAAGATCTAGTGGAACACTAGCCGCATCTGAGTGTCATCATAGGAAGACGAAAAACTGTATATCTCGAATGAATGCTCTGCTCCGTTATGCCATTATAGAGAACCGAGGCAAGTAAGCAGTCCTACGAGAAGCACGTGTGGAGCTGTGACAAAAATTCTGACTAAAATTAATCCTCTGACGGCTGAAATTTGGTGAATTTCGACCAAGAACGAAATCTTCCGAGGCTAAAAAGGCCCGACTGTCACGCAGACCGAGAATTTCTATTTGCCACTCCCAAACAAACTTCGGTGGCAAAGACACAGACAGAAATTCATAATAGGACCGGGAAGACCCATATGTTAGCAATCGTTCACCAACTTGCTTCCCACCTCAAGCTAACCGGATAAACACAAGATCTAGGCATTCGATTCCAGATGGCCTTACTTCTAATTGCGCAAATCAGCCCTATAGCGCAGTTTTCACCCTGTTGCATCTAACCTTTTAACATTCGCTCCATCCCGAGTATCGACGTACATTTCGGGAAACAACTTCTAAAATAATTAACTACTCGTTACATTTCAGTAGTGCAGAATGTGGATATACTAAATCTTCAGACCTGTCGAGATGTTACGATACCAAGGACCGCAGGATGCTGACAGTCTAGGGAAGGCAGATACTCGCAGCAACAATACTTTCTCTTGATGACTCCCACTCTTTCGTCTCTATCACCCAGTCCTACGGATGTATGAGAGTCAGAACCTGTACTCTAAACCACCAGATTAAGTCTGTGCATGTCATAACGGAAGGCCCGATGCGACCTAAAATCAAATGATGAACATCAGACACATCTAGAAAATAGCCCAATCATCCACGAGTCTGCTGTAAGACCTACTTTTCCGCAAATAACTTAACTTTACAGCCTTAAATACACATTACCACTGTCGTGAACCGTGGTCCCCTTCTGGCTCTCAAACCAGCAAACTTGGGCCAGAAATAAGATTTGAATCAACTCACTGTCTTTACAACCCCTAGTGAAACAGCCTACAGGCAGCTCCGAGTTTCCTATGGCAATGGACGCTGCCCTCCGCATTCCTATTTCCGAAGACAAGATGACGCGACCGGATTAAAAAAAACCCAATTTGATGCAACGCAAGGCATCCTAGTCGGCATTCCCAGACGCTCGAATCGCTTCAGGCTCCGCGCACCTTGTCGTGATGTACGCACTAGGACCGTTACCGACAGCGGTACGCAGGTAAACGCAGGACCGGGTTCCCGATTCTACGAAAGTCGCAGGTGACTTTCGCGTACGCTCGAACGGGAGCAGAAGTTGAGTTTCGGTGGGAATGCCCGTCCCAGGTATGGAAGCTGTGTCGAGATTCGCGACGATAGCCAAAGACGATAGCACGACGAGGGGATCTACGGTTACCTCGCTGTTTGAGTCATTCTGGGACCAATACTATCGTTGGCGAAATCGATTCTTGGTACAAACAGCTGCAGGCAGGTCAATTTTAATGACATCTACGAGGCGGCTGCGTACTTGGGGGCGCCTTCCCGCCAAATTGAGATTCCTAGAATGATTCAACCGACGTGACTGTGAAGAAACCGACGGCCTCGATGGGGTCCAAACCCAAGAAAACAGATAAGTCACCTAAACCCGCCAAAAACACCTATTAGTTCTTATACTGGTCAAATAGAGCTCTGGGATACGCCCAAAGACCTGAGATGAATGGAGAAGGCTTTTGGTAGTAAGACGCGCTCCACAAAGTTAAAATCGTCAAAAAGACCAGATCGGCAGGTGAACTGCTCTTCCGGGAACTTTGCTATCAACTCAATCCCCCAAGCCCGTGCTTATGTTGCCTCAACCAAATGGGCCGTGCCTCCATTCAACAGAGATAGGAGATTTTTGTGAAAAAGACGTGACTTTGAGAAACACAGCTGAACATCGAAGCGTGTATTAGGTTTGAACAAAACAGTGAAAAAAGGGTTGGCTGGATGGAGGCGAGTTTTACGAGTAGTGTTTAATGCTTCGAAAAGGGAGGAAAGCCAGCAAGTGGGTGTGGCTGTGTACTCAGCAGCAGCATGGAGTCCTCCGGCCGGAAAAAAATACTGACTGTGGAACACCACAGACTCTGATTGCAAAAAGACGCTTTGTATAAATATAAATTGGTATGTGTGCATTTGTACAAGGGGTATAAAAGAGCAAGTTTTCCGTCAGTGCTTATCGCTTGCTTTTCTGCCTAAGGTGAGTGTTTGAGAACATCCTGCACATCCTCCATGTCATCGTCATCCTCATCCTCATCTTCATCATCGTCGTCGTCGCCCATATCCATGTCTTCGTCATCCTCGGGTGCGTCGTCTTCCTCGTCCAGCAGGCCTCTGCCCATACGCATGTGCCTGGGTCCGCCGCGCAGGTCACCGCTGATGGCCGCCGTAGCCGACACATTCTCAGCGTCGCCCAGCACTCCGCCAGTGCCAGCACCGGCGGAGCCCTCCACGGTCATCTTAACTGCCTGTCTATGTATACTGCCAGCCTGACTGCGGAACTGGCTGGGAGCTGAGGGGGTGCCGCGATGTCGAAGAAGGCCATCGGGACCGCCTGGAACCACAAAGCCTCGGGCTGCAGCGGTTCGGGCGTAGTGTTGGGTGTCGCCCGGCACCAAGTCGGTGGGGACACCGCGTTGGATCTGAATCTGGCGAACGCTCGAGTCATCGTTGACGCCACTGTCGAAGAAACCAAAGTGACCACCGTTGGCCGAGGGCGAGCCGGACTGCAGGCGTCGAGACTGAGTACCGCTTCCAAGGTGATCAGATCGGGCTTGGCTGTCATCGCCTGGATGCGAGAGGTCACTGGCGGTTCCTGCAGCCGCTGCCTCGGCGATTCTGGCCTCAATGAAGAGACGGCGTTGCTGATGTAAAGCCTCAAAGTCTGGCACTATAGCCTGGCGGCGTTCATATATAGCTGGAAAGCGGAAAAGGAGCATTTTGTGACAAGGATGTAGAGGAGTTACACGGACAACGTTATGACGCTACGAGTATTTTCGAGAGGGGAGGGGGCTTAAAATACTACGCCAGCGTAGAGGATGCATGAGGATGTTTCGTGGCTATTCTTGATCGGCAACACACCCAAGGAGAGCCTTGCACAATTAGTTAGAATCGAGAAATCAAATATTGTGAAATATGCCCAATCGGAGTTGGCTAACAGGTCGGACAAATAATTTTCCCAGTGATGCCGTGGCTGCAAACGGTGGAACGGCCTTCTGGGAAGGTTGGCTGCGAGATAAACAGCCTTCGAGTCTGTATGAACAGCCGCGGAACAGCAGTGGTAGTGCAACCAGGCTGCAGAGACCTGAGGGCTAACAGACCGACCATCCTGTGAAATGCTGTAAAATCTGATGAGTGCATTGTGAAACCACGACCGTGAACCGCCCATAAATAGGTTTTCTTGCCGTCGCTCCCTTGTAGTTGGTTTCTATGTAATTGCATCGTTGGAGCGGTCAACCTCGAAGAAAAACAATCCAGGCAGTTCCTGGAGGCTCACCTGTATACCTGTACCTCACTTCATACGGCCTATGACGTACTGATGATTGGTAGCGACCGTGAAACAGCGGTCTGCGTCTGGCCTGCTGCACACTTAACGAGATGCTTATGTATTATATGTGGTATGTGTCCTATGACGCAACGCTAGTTGTCGCCGGTAGCAAGCAGGGCGCTCAGCGACCGTTCTTACGGAAAGAGTGCGTTCCGTAAGTACGATCGGTGAGCGCCCTTCTACCATTGTATATTCCCGATCAAAACCGACAGGACAACGAGTCCGTGGTCCAGTGGTTAGAGGCATTAGTCTTCTAGCTAACAGGTCGCGAGTTCGAGACTCGGGTGTTCCACACTTCGGAGTTGGGTATGGCTGGCTGAGGACGGTCAATAAGCCAGAAATGGCCATTCCAGTCTCCCTTGTTTTTGGCGGTAATACCATTCTGCCTACATATCATGCGCCGCTGTGCGGCTGCTGGTTGGGCTCGACAGAGAGCCCTTAAGGCACAACGGAACGAGTGAGCTCCGTAAAAGAATATCGGTGAGCCCCCTATACCAGCGCTTAGTGTGTCTGAAGAGCGTTGTTGAAGTACCAGTGGAGGATTTACTAACTTACCCTCGACGTAAAAGCGTAGAGAAGGGGGAATGAGTTCAAGGCACTGATTGTACTCCTCCTGTGTGCACTGGGCGCTTCCGAGGCGAAGAGTAAGGCCCATTCTCTTCAGTGTGTCGACTTCATCGCGAATCTCGAAGGCTTGGTCGAAATTGAACAGGTATTCAAGTCTGCAGGAGGTGGAATGAAACGTACATCAGGATAAGCGCGATCATGTCAGAATGAAGACAAAACTACGGGGGGGAGGTGGAGTGGGGAGGGAAACATTAGTGACGAGGTGTTTACTTGTCGCTGGATATATTGCAGTCGATCACCGCCTTCCGATTGGTTGATACAATCATGAAGGGCAGTGGGATGTTGTCGAGTTTCTGAGGAGTGAGAGCGGCCACCGTCATCTCCATTGTAGTGCTTGGCTTGCCCGTGGCACCACCCACATCGGTATGGTGTTCAGTGTCGGCGGCACCGGAGGCGGTGCTGAGTGCGGCAGCTTCGCGTTGTGCCTGTCGCTGTCGCTTGTAGCGCTCATTGATACGATTCCGAACAACGAGGTTTTTGAAAGCGATCAGTTGAAGGATGAGCTCTTGGATTTCTGCAGTCTAACGAAAGGAATTCAAAAATAGCAGTCTAGATTGTTGAACATTCATAAAACAGCACAAGGACATACGACCTGGGAGAATCGGAAGGCAACCCGGACTGCCGAAGCTTGATCTAGCGGATTACTGAAGTGACTATAAATATACTACTAACATGATTTCAACAGATCCTTTTTGTGCGTTAAACTTGACCCGTAGGGAAATTTTCCGTCCGCAGTGAAGTGCGCGAGGTTATAGTGATGGTAAGCTCACACAGCACCTGTCACACCCCCACTCACCTGAGTCGCCAGGTGGAAAAATAAAATCAGCACGGCCGGAGGGGGGAGAATTGGGCGCCCTGGCTGACAAAGCTGACCATCCCGTCAGCGCGTGTCACACACACAAACACACACTCGCCCGCTCCGCGAATGACATACCAGGTTTTGGCAAACAAACAAGGAACGGCTTAGGTCCTAACAGTGTAGGAGTGTCATAGGTGCCAAGACGGCCTGACTCTCCGTCCTGTGAGCAGCCACCAGTCCACTGTCCAAGCCGGTCAGTCATCTGATGTAGGCATGTGGTCAAAAAGAACGGAGTATCCCTTTTCTGTGAAGGCTGGCGAAAATCAAACGGTGGCCTATTTTGAGACATCATTTGCGGAGAGGTTCTACATTGTTTTCTGGGAAAATCACCGGTCTCTGTCAGAAAAACTGGTTTTATACATTAGTGGAGACAGGTCAGGCGGCTTTCAGGGACTAATATCCTAACAACTAACCTACAGCTGGTGATGATAGACTGGGGTCAAGCAATCGTAAGCAATCCAAATTCCCCCTAAGGTCAAGCTAGCAGAGATGTGGAAAAAATCAGATTTTGCATATCCCCCACAAGGTGTTAGCAGGTGCATGCGGTCAATTGCCGCATCCAATGGTTGCTAAGTTTTATTACGCGACTGTCTTATAAGCAACGGATGTAATCATGTTCGGGTGGTTGAGCACTCCAGTTGGAGAGTGGGATATAATTAAGTGGGCGGCATTACAAACGCAAATACCGTACCAACCGGGGCCATTAGCATGCTCGACTGTTTAGGAGCCTGCTGACTAATCGTCCAAATTGGAAGAAAGCAAATACAACGGTTAGTTTGTTTTGCGCAACCTGATTAGCCAGTATTTCAAAAACTACAGTAGATGTGCTTACTCATGAAATGTCAACCAAAATTTCGAAATGCGTCCTCGTTTCGAAAAGATAAATTAAGTAGTGTTGTAAAACTAATCATGATGCAGCATAAATCTATAATGATCCAGTTACCTCAGGGTGTCGGCTTTCGAGAGAACTTATTTTCGGCTGCATGTAAGATCTATACTAGGCAAAAAATGACTACTTATGTTGTATGCAATTTTCTCATTGATTTTCGATGCCCTTGAAAATTCAATTATATTTCATGGAAAGCATGCATAAACATATTCATTTTTTGCTTATTCGATAGAAAATCACATCTTCTTCCAATTTCATACTCAAAAGAAGAGCATAATCTGGTTTTTAAAAACTTTTCTAATTCCCGAATAATTTCGAACCCGACCTGCTGTTACACTTGCATTCAGGGTTCCAAAACTACTAGCCGTATATTGTCCGTATACGGAAAACCATGCATTTCTCTACGGTGTTAAGAGGAGACCATATGAGGTTCATAAAATGAAGCAGTGGATTTGGGCAATATTGTTACCTTTACAAGCCATATTTGTAAATGCAGATACATGACGTTTCATGAACGGCCATTTAACGGTATTTAAAAAATCTCAGTTAGAAACTTTTTTTAAAACCGAATTCTATTCTTCTTTTGAGTATTAAATTGGAAGAAGATGTGATTTTCTACCGAATAAGTAAAAAAATGAATAATCTTATGCATGCTTTCTGTGAAATATAATTGAATATTCAAGAGCATCGAAAATCAATGAGAAAATTGCATACTACATAAGTAGTCATTATTTGCGGAGTATAGATCTTGCATGTAGCTGAAAATAAGTTCTTTCGAAAGCCGACACCCTGAGGTAACTGGATCATTATGATTAGTTTCACAACACTACTTAATTTATCTTTTCGAAACGAGAACGCATTTCGAAATTTTGGTTGACATGTCATGAGTTAGCACATCTACTGTACAAGTCCCTTCTTCTGATGAATGTTCAGTTGACACGGCTTACTCGTAGCCAAGAAATTGGCCGTTTTGAACTGACGGACCACTCAGTCCGTCTGAAATCAATATCTGTCCACTGCAAGCCGACAACCGCTTTTTATGCGTTTTGAGGCCATGAACATATTGAAAAAAATCAAGGTAATGTGTTTTGACACATGAGGATAAAACCTGGGGGACCTCGGTTGAATTTAAAACCGAGACAGCAAGAGCAATTCTCAAGTACAGTCAGCGTTCTAACCACCTGAGCAACGAGGTTGGACCCCCGGCTGTACTCTAACCTTTCCATTGCTGTCGTGGGCTCTAATTCCAATCAGACTGTCGTTTTTTCCCAAAATTAAGTCATAATGGTGAAGTATTTTGTTTTTGGTGGTGCTAGTGTAATTTCACTCTTCCCTCCCCTAAGACAGATAATTGTGTAAAATAAAAGTTACATCAGAATAATGCAAAAGAGGACAGTCAATGTACCTTATTTCGCAGAGAAATCTGCCGTTTCTCCCGCTCCTCTTCAAGCCGACGGCACTCCTCAATCATGTTTATGGGGAGGCCTACCCAACGAATCTCCTTCTTTTCCTTCTGTAGGACATTCAGCGCCATGAGAACATTCAGAGCATCATAAACGCGTCGCCGTATGTTCTTTTGGATGTAGTGCAGCTGGCGGGGGAGAGTTAAGGGTAAAAATGAAACCAGCATTAAGCATTGTGGCCTAGAGCAAGCAAGGATGAAAAAGGTTCAGTCGATTAAACGGCAGGCTCAGTTTTGACAGGAATATTCACCTTCAGGTGAGAAGCAAATATAGCTTGGTGGGTACGTTTTGGTCCCCGACAACAACACTTCAGGACCACACAGCAGACCTTGCCACTTCCACCTACATCCCGCCCCGTCTACCTGTCAATAAATTTTGGTACCAGAAGAGGTGGGGAGAAGCATGAACCACCACTTTCATTGTGAGTGTTTGGCGCGGCAAGACGCCTCCTACAACCGTGTATGCCGCTTTATTTCGGAGCACGTCCCTGACACACGGCATCCTTCCGATTCAAAATAGTACTATCATCCGTCTGACGCAACTGCGAAAAGGGCGGGGTGAAGTGTTGTATGGTTTGGTATTAGCTGGACGGGAAGATCTGTTTCATCAAATTAACTATGGTATGGCAAACACATCCATCAATGCCGGGAGCTGCGGCTCTCTTCGGTTGGGACCCTAAAGATTTTCAAGACTAAAGACCTGGCTTTAATCATGGTCCGCTGCACCGCAGCTCATTAAGATCCTACTTTATGGCGTTTCTATCAGGGGTAAGCCACTGGAACACAAAAAGATAACAGACTGGTATCCTTGTATTATACAGTGGGTAAATTAACTCTATGAATGGGGCAATGGCGTTCTGGTGACGGCGAAGGATTCTTATCACCCAAGAAATGGAACTGGTGTTGCAGGGCATAGCAGGCGCCGATTCGTCCTGAATGACGAACGGAACTGTCTTAGGGCTCTGAGTCAATAGCTCACCAAAGTTGTCGTGCAGAGAGCAGGTGATACTGACGTTCCGCCCCCCACCCACTATTCCCGCTTTATGCCTGTTTGAAGCGAGGGAAGCGACTCGACTTCTCTAGCAGTCGGCATGTAATAATTGATCCAGTAAATAAACCAATGTATAGGCCTAAGAAGAATTCATAGACAGCAAAGGTATGCTCGTAAATGGTCTTCGGGACGCGTAGGTTGTGTGAAACACATTGGTGTTGAGCTCATTGGTTAAATTTGATAGGACCCAGGTGTCCCAATCTGTGAATACGAGCTACCACAGACGACAGGGTGAGATCACAGAGACCTAGAGGGCAACTAACTAACTGGAATCCCTGGGACTCCCCACGATCCGATATTATTGATCAACGAGGCCAAATTGCCACTCTGGTTTCCCCGTCCTTTTTCGATCCAATGTATTTCGACCTACACGCGTCAAAATGCCCTTCGAAATCCCAAATACGCCTGGTTTATGAGACCCCTCCTTCTTCATAGAACACCGTAATTTTCATAAATTGCCCTATCGTCGAGATTCCTTGATATCGAAAATCAGCATAAAAACGTTGGGGGCTTTAGCCTACCTGTTCTGATGGGATCATCGGATGTTCCGCCGCGTACTCATGCACAAGTTCGTCCGCCACTTCGCTGTAGGAGGTAATTCCCTTTTCTTTGACTTTGTTGCAAACGCATCGAGCATAGCGTCGAAGGCCGTTTGTTTTGAGGCCCGTCGCGACACTGGGGGTTGGAGGGAGAAGTCGGTTGGTTAGGTACTGTTCTGCGTCTCTAAAACATGCTCAGCCGAGGGTGGGATACCCACAGATCTGCTCCACTTACAAGAAACAGTAGCCGTATGTATGCACAACCAGACTCACAAACTCGAGTGCTGAAATGCTTCCCTCGAATTACGAAATCGCACCTGAGAACACAAATTGATTCATTCATACTACCTGCACGTTTATCAGGGAATTCTGACTATTTTTAATCCTTATTAACTAGCACCTTTGACGACCGATTGGAGGATTAACTTGAGCTTCAATTCAAGAAAAAAAATTAAGGAAGTTTAAGACAGCGAACGTACGTTTTCGATTATTTTTCGTCAGGCCAGTACAGTAATATAGGTCTCGTTTGAGCAGCGAAATTTGAGAGATAAAACAACCTATGAACAGTAGTCATAACTTGGAGTAAATGTGTTCAGATTTGTGGGGCAGTGGGATAGTTATAGTCTAGTTTCTGTCAGAGGTACGGGAAGGGAGAGGGAGAGGAGATGTAGGGCGCTCTGACAGAGTTGTGCTTATGTTTCGTCGCTGTGGCGCGACGTGCCATGGTGCGGCTCGAAACTTTCACGACTAAGCTTCGATTAGGGTAATAGAAAGGCGTTGATGAAGGCCTTCTGCGAACGCAAGGCTAGATTCGATAGTCGTATGGCCACCGCCTCCGTTGTCGCAAGTATTCGTTGACCTAGGGACTTGGGCCGTCTTGCCGACACTTTACAGATGACACGGAGTGCTTGGTTGTTTGCCCGGTGGCCGATGTCAACCAAGTGAGCCACAATGGCGCTAGAAGTGGACTTTCCCTCGCCTTGATATAGCCAGGCAGGATGGTGCTCTCGCATCCGCTTGGATAGGCGCCTTGTTGTTCGACCAGTCTAGCCTTGCGCTCGCAGAGGGCCTTCATCAAAGCCCTCCTGTTACCCTGGTCAAAGCTTTGTCATGAAAGTTCAGACCCGAACCATGGCACGTCGCGTCACAGCGACGAAACATAAGCACAACTCAGTCAGAGTACTCTACCTCTTCTCTCCCTCTTTCCCTTCCCGTACCTCTGACAGAAACTAGACTAAATACCCCGCTGCCCCACAAGTCTGAACGCATTTACCCCAGGTTATGACTACTGTTCATAAGTTGTTTTACTTTTGAATTTCGCTGCTCTAACTAGACGAAAAACGTACGTTCGCCGACTTGAACTTCCTCAATGTGCAAATGGGCATAATTACAGAAAAAAAAGTACAGAAGACACTATAAGAGCATGTTTAACAAATAATGTTCGGTAGCTGAATAGTCGTCAGTTGTGCCGACAGCCAAAAAAACAAATACTGCGGGTTAGATGTATGTTAAAATCAAACAGACAGCAGCCTGCCCGCCAACGCGTCAGCTGTCGTAACAACAAAGATAAAGATCTTGACAATATATCAGCCAGGACAATCAACTTACTGGTCTTGTTCAGTGTCCGAGTCACGGCCACTGGGACTGCCAGGATGTGCAAACTGAGCATGTGGATGATTAGCGGAGAGCTCAAAAAATCCGCCTTGTGGGGCGGGAGCCTGGCCAGCAAGAAATCCGGCTTCAGGACCGCCGGAGAGCATTGCATTCTCAATGTCTTCACCTGCAGCACCCGCTCCGGACACAGCTGTCGGAGGCAGAGCGAAGCTGGGACCGACCCGGGTTGCCATACCTGCTCCAGGAGGGCCGGAGAGAATCAAAGTGCCCTATAGGGGGGAAAAAAGAGCATCCTTAGGATTCCGTTAGTTAAGGAATGCTGTGGCTATTAGATGGCTGCAAATCAGTTCGGCTTACTGGTCTTATGGGCGCACCAGAGCTTCCCAAGACGGTAATGTTTCCACCGGGAGCAGCACCAATCTGTCCTGCAGGTCGCAGGGCCAAAAAGCGGGGCATTCCTGCCGTCTGCTGCACTCCACCCGTTGATATTACAGCACCACCGGGACCAATGGTCTGATGTCCAGTACTGGTCAGCACTTTGACCCCTCGTTGAAGCATGTGCATGGGTATAACTGCGATGCGGGAGGGGGGAAGCATCAAAAAGGTTATGTTAGGAGGCGTTAGACTGCATCGTAAAAGATTCAGTGAGCCAGAACACATCAAAAGCCGCCAGTTTCATTAGCAGGGGGTCCCTACTAACAGCCGCCAGGTCCTCACACATCATGGCATCCGATTGGCCTATTTAGACATACGTGCATCAAAATGTCGCGCATCAAGCACATAACGATCAGGCGATTAAGTCCAACAACGTCCGCAACCACGAGCAACGAATCCCACGTCTGGATGCATGCGCGTGGCACATTTTGGACGAAGGTTGCACACCACGTACGCCACTGCTCCCAATAACACCACCACTTGCCCTCATCCCGACTTGCCACTGGTATTAAGATATTGTGGACGGTCTAGCTCAGATCAAGCGTCTACTTTCTCTACCACAAACAACCAAACGCGCTAACAGTCGTGGCTCGGAAGGATGCCAACCGAGGAAATAACACAGCCTTGATTAGGACTGATGATCAGTCTGCGATAGCTTCTTTCTACTGTGGTGCCGTCACATGAGATAGGGAGCTCCCTCGTTTAAAACTGGTTTATATGATTAGGCTCAGACATTGCTCCGTCATCGTCAGAAAGCGTGCTTGCGTGCGTCCGCAGTTGCCCCGACTGTTTTGCCATTGGAACAAAGTGGCTGTAGGAAAAAAGGTGGATGTTACGTAGGTCCACTTCGCAGTAAACAATTTCACGCGCAAGTCACCGTTGTCGTGCCCTCTCCAAAACTGTGCTGGTCTCCAAGGCCCTGGAATGAGCTTTTCCGGCGCCTGAACTGGATTCTCAAAGTCGATGTCGAATTTTTGCGTATCCTGAGGAGACATTAACTGGCTGTCTGGCGGATCCCAGCACAGTGCCGTGATTTGTGGGTGGGAGAGCTAACGTTCTTAGCTATGTGGAGCATCGTGAATTAGGCCCTGACGACATCACGACTTTCACATGCGACGATGTCCACCGCCGGTGGGTGCAGGACAGTGACTTGCGCGTGAACAAGTTCATAATGACAGCAGACTTGCGCAGCGTCTGCCACACTCAACCCTCATCCACCTGGGCCCGGTGGTAATACAGGGTCGGGACGGCCGAGGACGGGTTCGCGTGCAGTGGCTGGCAAAGCTAAATAATCCGTCTACGCGTGCAGCGGACGTGCCGCAATAAAGTGGGCTACTCGTGTCCCATACAAGTCACGTCAGGAAGAGGTCATTAGGCCTGACTCCCAGGCCTCGAGAGCCAGTCACCCCAAATGCACACATAGTGCCGACCACGAGGACCAAATTATCGGGTCAGTTTGCGGGTTCTCAAGCCATGGCATTTAGGTTGTCGTGCTTGATTCAAGCGCGCCTGCTGTGGGAATATACTCCCTTACGCTCTCGCCGCTCTCCGCGCACCAGGCCAGTGTCCACGTCCATCAGCTAACCGACGTGGGGTTTGGGCTCAAGTGGCTGGCGCGACATGAGGGCTGCCCCTAGGCCTCCTTCCCTTGGGTGAAACTTGTCATGAGATGTGCGGACTCTCCGCAGTTGGTTTAACGCGTGCCCCCATCTGGTCACCGTGATGGTTCAGCGCACTTTTAGCATGGACCGCTGAAGAGCCACCTTGCATCATTAGACTGGAGTAGATGGACGTAGAAACTTCACGTGTAAATTGTAATACTAAGACATAAAAACGCCGACTGTCAGTGAGTGACAGGGCTCCCACTAGTCTGGACAGATTGCGGTGGGGGATTAGGGCGCAGAGGCTGGCAAGGGCACCACTTCGATCGCTCAATTATTTCATGACTTTACCTCACTGAAATTTCTGACAAACATCGTCGCGCCCCTCATGTGAGTTCAGGGTTACCAAAGGTCTAACCATAGAAAGTGAAAAGATTACCTGCTGCTTTGAGGGCCTTTCCGCCAACCCCTTGTCCAGGGACGGTAATTATTTTCACGGCCTGTAGAAACAAAAAGTGAAGACCAAGTACATAGAGATAATCTGTACACAGGCTTAAAAGGTACGCGGACAGTACTTTGCAGAAGCCGCTCTAAATTACATAATTATTAGAAGATATCATTTACGTTGGCGTGCCTTTTGATTTGGGTACCTAGGAAACATTTGCTGAGATAGTGAACAAGAATAACGTAACATAAGCAGGGATGTTACCCAAATATCATAGACAACCAGATATGGATAATCTGATCAACAGGGAAAAATAACCTAGGTGAGCTTTGGAAAATCATCGGCATGGAACACATTCACAAGGTAATTTATGCACACCAACATGCTAGCTTGTGGCTGGGACTTGTTCAGGCCACCCGCGTATATTACAATCGGAGAAAGACCACGGAAATACCAGTCTTTTCGGTTAGGGAAAGGAGTATCAGAGAAGGGCAATAGAGAGCGACTAAAAAAATGATGGCAGAGCAGAAACTACTGAAGTCTCAGGTTGATGGGAAGTCCTAGAAATGTATGGAAAATCAAGGCTCGTAGGCGCCGCCCCAAAAAGACAAATCTGTGACTCACGATAAGGCCGTTTACATGCATGTCTTTTGGCGCCAAACAATGGAATAACTGTGTGTGCACAGCTTCACTAAATTATACGTCACGGAGCATGACACCGGCCATGGTCATGAGGTAAAGCTTCATACGTAAAAAGCAAGCATTCTGTGTTGACGTAAGACGGGAGGGTTGCGAATTAGTAATGCTCAAATTACCCGAATGCCCTGGGCTGTGGGTGCACCAGGTGTCGTAGATCCGACTGGCTGACCGGTACGTTGCACCATGATGACTCGAGGTGCTCGAATTGCTCCCGGTGTCGCCATCCTGACGACTGGATGGCTAACTGTCTGAAAAACGCCCTCAGATGGTAATGAAACGACATTCTGTACAATAGAGCTGCTGACGTTCGAGGTTGCAGGTTCATTTGATCCGACAGTTATTTCTTGTTCTGCAGCAGGGATATCTAAAAAGTCCCCGGGTCCACCCGAAAACGGCTCTGCTTTGCATTCCATGATGTCTGTGATTCAAAAAGGCAGTGACGTAGAAATAAAGACACTCAGAACTATCATCAAAATTTCGTGAATAAATTGGTTATAGTACTGTAACGAAAGCTTAACTGCCGCCAAAGCAAAGGGTCTAGAGTAGCTGACAGTTGTCCCACATAGCATCAATACTGGCACATGTCCTGCGGTCGCCAGCTAAACACCAGGCGGTCGTTGTTCAACTGTCGACGCATTCACGAACACAGAAGTTCGTTTGGCCAATCATGCCTTCCGAGTCTGACCTTACCGCATCTGCAACTTTGGCTAGCATGCAGCACACTGGTCACATTTTGCAACCACGAAGCACGAGGGTCTAGATTGTAGCCTTGAGCACAGGAATCCAACTAGCCACGGGGACAGACTAAATGGGGGGGGGATATTTTGCAGACGAGTTATGCATGGTGGCTTATCTATCCACGGCTTTAGTTCGTCTGTGGCACAGCGAAACCGGCATAAACAACATATCCCAGCACCTCGAGGGTGAGACACTGAGTTGTGAAGCCGTCCAACGGTATGTCGGCTTTCCGAATTTACAGAAAGGATCTCCATGGCAGACAACGTCATCAGCGAAGTCAAGGTATGGAAGGAGTTCTCTCACCATCTGGACGGCCTTTCGGTGGTGCAGTCCTGTGAGAAGATGGACTTGTGGAGGCTTTCACTGACAGCTGAATCGACAGTCGTGTCGGCCAGTACGTTTACTGGACGACCGATAGCTCGGGCACTCCACTTACGCAAAGTGTTGATTACAGACAATAGACAGTAAGAAAGTGAGTATCTGAAGTCATAAATATTGCAAAAACCAGGAACAGATCGACCTGGTAAAATTTACCACAGCCGCCATCTGGTAGAATATAAGGATTTTGAGGTGACTTGCACGATTGCTTGGATAAAAAGTAATCGGCGACCTACTGAAATTCGGCGAATATAGCAATGGGAAATTTCCTGTCCTCGGTTTTCCCCGAGTTTTGGCGAACGCAGTTCAACCCGGTCGTAAGTCAGATGTAAATCAGTAATTCAAGCTGAGCGACTGACTTTGTTAGTGCGGCTTGCTTGTTACTAACCGACCTACCATACACCGCCCTTAATCCCATTTAAAGATCGTCAGCGAGAACACTCCGGTGAGTGCCACACTGGCGTAGACATGTCACTACAAGACGCCCACTTGAGAAACGGTAGGATTCCACGCACTCCCGATCACGCACATCATACCTCCGCTTTATACTTAACGGTCTCATGCCCCTACAGCTCATACGTGGAAAAAAGACGGAATTCCAAAACCCGACCGAACTGGGAATACGAGTTAACGCATTTTCTGTCAGGACACCGCAGAATCTATGAAACTAGGTAGCAGGAAGGAATTTGGCAAGAAAGAAACTGAACCAAGTCAACTATTTGTGTAACTGCGCGTACCGGTTTGCAGTTCCCATGGTCGCTATTTGTCGGACAAATGGGAACTCAAAGACCAACTTCGGATCAACTGACACGTGCAACTAGACGGGTGAAGGAGCCGTCTATATGTAGTAGAAGAAAAATCAAGGAGCTAAATTATGAAACGCATCTGAATGAATTTTCAAAATAAATGAAGTGGCGGGAAAATTGGAATTTCGCTCACTTTCCGTCGCGGAACTTTCAAAATGGAGAAGAGAGAACCGCGCAATCCGGATGTGTGCGGATGCACCGTAAGTTATTAAAACAAAAACACTCAAAAACTTTCCCTCCGTAAGGGATTACGCAACATGGTCTTGGCAATATTTTCTTACATTTTCTTTATGTTTTAATTATTATTTGTCGGCTTGGACAGTAATCGTTGTAGCTTTGATTCTTTCGAATGACCTGAAAAATGCGCAAATTTCGAAGCATGCCAGAACAATAATTTCCCTGGATCGTTAATTAGCAAGTTTAAAAAGTTGAACTCATGACATAGTGTCTGACGAAAACGCTTATTTTGCTCCTTACATTTTCGAAAATTTTGGTTCGCCTCAATAACATACTCAATCATAGCTTATTGCGGGACGGTTCGACCGTCGTTGCGGATAATGCCCACAGTATGGGTCACAACAAGGGGAAAGTGGCAAGGAAACTTGCAAGTAAATTAGTTTATAGCGGAAGCAGACTCGCGCAGCATCTGCTGCACTTTTCTTTCCTCCTCACCTGCATCGGTTTTCAAGACAGCTTCAAGAAAACCGGAGGCAAGGGAAGGTGCAGGTGGATGGCACGGCTGAGTCCGCACCATGGCGCTCCACACCAGTTGGTCTACAGAGAAGATAACCAGGGTTTCAACCGACACAAATGTGGATGGCAGGGTTCTCAATGTGTGCAACCTCTACCGGCAGCTGGTCTGCCACCGCACCCCGAAATGTTGACATTTGTTATGGTGCACATTCCGCCTACGCCTGCCAGAATCCGAAATGATCTCTGTGTCTGTCCAGCGCATCTTCCACACAGCCCGTTTTGAGGGCACTGCTTACTGCACACTCAGATCAGAACTATGAAAAGGAGAGCGAAAGACACTAAGTTCCGTTTTTAAACCATCATTGTTCCACTTTGCCATAAACATTTTAGACTACCGTTTCTTGTATGCAAATGGTGGAATGACAAGAGATTATACGCGGTGAAGTTGTACTAAACTATTAGTCTGTGTGTTGTTTTTGTCCCAGTATTTCTTAGAAATCCGTCTATATCTCTTGCATTCAGTTCGATCACGAGTAATTACGGATAATGCGAAAGGTTTACTGAAAAATGAAAGATACACTGTGATACCCACTTCTGGCCTTTGCAGTCGTTCGCTATCGTTAATATCGGTAAGCTCTTCTCTGCACATGCTACTGGTCGCTTTATGATTGTCTGTGATGGTTCTAGAATGTACCCCAAGGCACGATGTGACGAACACGTCGTACGACCTGAATGTTTATCGTCTCTCGATTATAGTTGACCCGAGTGCGGCCTAGAGTTTAGTGTTAAATTGGTGGATTACTAACCGTTTAGTGGCCAAAAAACCCGGATTCATACCTTAGGTTCCATAATCCTGTGATTGTATATCTGACTGGCGGCGGCTAATAGACCAGCAGTGGCCCCTCGGGTATTTCTTATTCTTGCCGACATTTTTTATCTGTGGAGTGTAAATTGGTCCACAACTCACTGCGGATGTTTCGGACCTGTTTCGAAACCTTAGATTTCTACGTCTTTTCACCTTTTGTGGCATTGGGCACCGCTGCTACACTAAGGTGTTGGACGCCAAGTCTACGCGGGCAGTATTTTAAACCCCATGGCGGTTAGGACGATATCTTTACTCGAATGTATCTATCGTCATGGTTTGTCTGTGCACCTTAAGCAGTGTTGCGCTTCAAATAGCAGTCAATGAAGCACACCAGTTTCCCTCATTAAACTCAACTGAAATCCATGTGATTCATGTTCGCCATCAGAAATCTCGGCTAAGTAGTTTTGAAATTTGACTTATACCTTGGGATGTTCCTAACGTTTTGGTCACAGTCTTAGTACAAACACCCCCAAAACCAACGTCCTCTTCATGAATTGAGCGCTATCGGCATCCTGGGAGATCTTCTGAACTGGATAAGGGCGTTTCTGACTTGGTCGAAAGTAACGTCTCTGTAATGGAGATGATATGTCAGCCTGGATGAACGCGAGCAGTGTCGTGCCTCAGGGCTCAGTTCTGGGGACACTGCTCTTAACAATCTATGTTAAGGCCAGCCTTCGGGAGCTCGATTGCGGTTAAATAATGTTTGCCGACATCATTAAACTCCCGCAAGTCAACAAGAGTCCAAAAGACCAGAGGACCCTTCAAAACAATCTGCAATGACTGCCAGTATGGTCCGAGAAATGGCTTCTGGATTTTATTGTGCAGAAGTGTGCCGTCCTTCATCTGCGTCCAACCAACCGTCGTTCAACTGAGAGCGTGAGGGCATATCCTCTGAAAGAAATTACACTTCCCTCAGAATTTCTGCAGAAGGATCTCAGTGCTTGCATAGAGAGTGACATGAAAACAGCACTGCAGTACAACAAGGCTGCAAATAACGCCACGGGAGGACTGCAGGCCATCAAAAGGGCGTTCGTAACCTATGATAAAGACCTTTTTGGAAGTGTTTACGACATCATTGTTCTGCCCCATTTAGAATATTGCATACAAGCGTGGCGGCCATGGCTCGTAAAGGGCCAAGCATGCCTCGAAAGAGCGCAAATCTTTGAAACAAAGCTGGTGAACAGTTTAAAAAGCCAATCCTACATAGAAAGGCTGGATTGTCTTAATTCATTCACTCTGTGTTACAGACAGCAAAGAGGCGATCTTATCCTCGTCTACAAGAGAATACACGGCCTTGAGCACAGACTTCGCTTTGAGGACATGTTTCAGTGGCACCTTTCACCCAATCTTCGTGATCACTCGATGAAGCTACGGACAAAAATGTCCAGGCAGAATAAATAAATAAATACAAAATTCTTAATTGAGACCCGTCTGGGTCCCAGCGAATCAAGTCTGACACTCCAAATAATAAAGCCCTTTCCTGATGCTAACTGTTTCCCGAAACCATTACGTCCGCTACCTAACATAAACTACCCCTCATATTATGCTAACAATTCCCAAAATCCTATTTCCATGCCTCCCCAACCGAACAAAATAGCTTTCCTCTTCCTGGGTCCTCCTCAAATGTTTTTCCACATAATGCTGCATCTCTTGTTAGTAGTTACCCCACAAATTTTAGACCGCAGCAACTTGGTCCTCCACCAATTGCTTCGTTCCACCAGCTTAATTTTCCACCTCCGGCTCTTCCTTTTTTACGAGCAACAATGAGCGGAACCTACTCATTAGGAACACGCTCAGTATTGTCCCTCTCAACTCAAGATCTGTCGTGCAAAATATGGTACACCAAATGAGTGTAGCTGTTGAGTTTGACACAGACGTATTGTGCATTACAGAATCTTGGGCTCACTCTCTAATTTCAGACTCGGCACTTAATATAGATAGCCTCAGTTTATACGGCCAGGATCGTGCCGAAAGACGCGGCGGTGGATGCCTTCTTTACATAAGAGCCTCACTTGCACAATCGCCTTATGACTTGAACATTTCCTCCTTCTCTGGAAATTTATGCTTTGCTTCGGTAATCCTTCCGCAAAATAGGAAAGCCTAAGTCGGATGTGTATATAATCCTCCATGTCCCTCCGGAAATGAAAGCCAACTCTGTGAACTCTGAAAAACTTACAGGAACTTCTTTCGATGTCAAGATAATCTTAGGCGGTTTTAATTTGCCAGACATTGACTGGCACACACATACTTCTCCTCCTTAATTGCAGAAGCTGCTTGACACCATTTACTTTTCAAACTTATCTCAATTAGTTCACTCTTCGACCAGAAACGATAGTGTTTTAGACTTCATGTTTACTAATGGCACCTTCCCTTTATCTATGGATTTCTATCATGACCTTTTTGCAAGTGATCTTGCATTAATCCACTGTCGCCTTCCCGTTGCCGTTTGCGCAAAGCCAACAGTACAACGTAGTATTTTTGACTTTGCTAATGTTAACAAGAAATTAGTAAATAACTTTAAATGCACTGTTGATTGGCACAATATTTTTTAAAATAATGATCTAAATTTTTTCAACAATTTTTTACAATGCGTGACAGAAGGTCTTCTTGACCTTATTCCTCGGAAGATGTTCAAATCGAGTGCTTATTCCACCGCTGCCCCACACTTTCTTAAAAACAGACTTAAAAAGTTACGGAAGCAGTTTAAAGATCCTTCTGTGAGCTCATTATTAGTTCATCTAAGAATCGTTGAAATATTTGAACTAGCTTCGAAAATTAGGCTCGCGCTAGATAGGCGTAGAGAGTGTTTAGCTATTAATGACATCAATGCTTCTCAATCAGTTGCTCAGATCTTCCGTCAAAGATTATCTACTAAGTCCCACCAAGTCATTCCGCCTTTGCTTAGTACTAGAGATGCCTTCATTAGAGAGGAGTCAGGCAAAGCAGAAATTTTAAATTCGTCCTTTGCCAAACATTCCACCATTGAAACTAACCCAATCCCTCTTATTCCTCCGTTGTCTGATGCTGATCGTAGCATCATTAATTTTTCTCCTTACTCTCCCTCAGTAGGTACGGACAATATCCCAAACTCTTTTATAAAACAGCTAAGAGATTTTCCTCCTCTGCATAGCAAAATCTTTTCAGTATTTCTCGTAAATGGCTTCTTCCCTGACTATTGGAAAACTTATACTATTATTCCTGTATTTAATTCTGGCTGTCGTTCTGACGTACAGAGCTATCGAGGTGTCCATAAAACACCCTCTCTCGCCAAAATCTTTGAAAAAATTATCGCCGTAAAATTTTCCGACTGTTGCATAGCCAATCAAGTTGTTAGTCCATCCCAGCCTGGTTTTTTACCAGATCGCTCTTGTGAAACATGTCATCTGTCGTTTCTCAATCTACTTACCTCTCTTCGTAATGACCATCTATCTGTGGTCGTTATTTATTTTGATCTTAGTAAAGCCTTTGATAAAGTGCCACATAAAGGAATCTTGGTTAAATTAGAAGCTATCGGAATTCGCAGTCCCCTAATAGGCTTTATCAAGTCATACCTGTGTAATCGTAAAGAAAATGCTTTGGTGGGATTTTCACTTTACAGTGAAAGCCCTATTTTAAGTGGTGTCCTACAAAGTACCGTTTTAGGTCTTCTTTTGTTCTTGCTTTACATACATGATATTTCGGCAGCAGTTAAACATTCTCATTCATTTATTTATGCCGATGATCTCAACTGTGTATATTCTTTCAAAAAATTTACGAGCCTTCATTGCCTGGAGCAAATCCATGCTGACATGCTTGCTCTCTCAGCTTGGGGCTCAAAATGGCTAAGGGAATTCTCTCCGTCTAAATGTCGCTATATGTGTTTTGGACCTGATAGGCTACCCCAACCAGTGGTCCTTCAAGGCACACCTATGGGTAAATGTACCACCATCAAGGATTTAGCTTTAAGCTACACTGGTAAGCTTGATCTCTCGCCACACGCTGACAAAATTGCGGCCAAAACTGCCTTATTTCTTACAATTTCTATCTTCCTGAAATTAACTAAGGCTCTATCGTATGGTTGTACTTCCCATTCTCGTGTATTGTTGCCCATTATTTGGTCTGATGAATGAAGCTAGTCGTTTAAGAATTGAATATGTCCAAAGACGTTTTTCTAAAAAAACATTTAGATAAGGGACATCCCAATATCTCCTACTCAGATAGATGCCAGCTAATTAACCAAAACATTTTATGGTTTCGAAGGCTAGAAGCGGGCTTCTATCTCCTCTTTCGCATTAATCATAGTTCAATTTTTCCTCGGATTTCAGCACTTCCCTCTAGTAATTGCCCATACAATCTTCGCAACTCGCCCTTGATAATACCTCCTCCAGCGTCCTGCAAATATAAGCGCTCCTATTTTTTCGCTTCCGGATATACATTCCTCTGGAATAACCTTCCATTAAATATAAGGACTTCAGAAAATCTACACACCTTTAAGAGAAGGCTACGCCTTTATCTGACTACTGACTCGATTTAACTTTTTTCCTCATCCTTCCCAGACAACTTATTCTATGACACTGAGAAAGGGCCACCGGGAATTTAGTATGCCGCCATTAAATCTCCGTATCTGTTCACATTTCCTTCCTTTGTGAGTAGTCTCGCTTCCCAAGATCCCTCACCAGACATGTCAGTTTTTCCAATTTTTCAGTTCATGCATCGTGCCTTCACAGAATGCGCTCCATCGACGTTCTTGGGGAAACCTTCTGTATTCGCCATATACTGGTAGCCTGGTCGCATCTCCCTTGCCCCATCTTCGGATGGACTCGGATGAATGTAACCGACCGCATCTGGGTTCCTATCGCCTCGAGACTGGTTTTCAATTTCGCCACTATTTCCCTTATTCAAGGCCACATACAGGCCTGTCCTGACCGACCCGCCTACTTACCCCTTCATGAAATCCGTTATACAATGCCATACACAGTTGACATTTATTTCGGTCCTGACAATGTCCAACTACAATCCATTCTATACCGCCACATGACGGCCAGTCCTGCCCGCATTTTTCTGTTTCTATTTTTTTCGAGGGTTTTTTTCTCCTGTACAATTAATCCAATCATTTTTAAATTTTGATATGGAGTTTTTTTTCACACCTCGCTTATCATTTTTCTTAACGGACTTCTAATTCAAAAACTATGAATTGCACTTTGTACAGATTTTGCCTACCTGGTCTAAAATTCGCATGTAAATTTATTTTTACTTGCTTTGATTGGACCCCGACGGGTCTTTAATAATAATAGGCAGAATATGTCGAATATTTAATTCATATGGGATTCAGACCTGATATCGTCTGGGCAGAATTGATACGCCGGATTAGACTATTCGCGTGAAAGATGTCAAATGAGAGGATCACAGACGCGATTGGCCACAGTCCGCTTTGAGCCCAGCCGAGCAGTGGGGAAGGGAGGTACGACCGAGCTACTAGTAGACGGCGAATACAGAGCGTTCCGCATTGAGCTTCGACAGACCGCATTAGGTCGGAATGCGGGAAGTGACATCAAAAACCGCGAAAATTGTCGCTATGGGGGAGGATTGATGGCAGTGGATTTAGAAACCAATTCAAAACAGAGGTTTCTAGTGATATAATTAAGAGTTACCACTTGATCTACTACTAAATCCCAGGAGGACCCTTCTCGAAGTCAAGAAATTGAGGGTTCGAGAATGAGACCGTTAGCAGTGACTTTACACTTTCCGGTGCAAGGTGATTGCGTTATTTCGATTTCAATACCAGTAACTTAGGCGACGACCTAATTTCTAGCGGACGATTATTCCAAAGGAAAGCGTATTTGGAAGCAGAGAAGATGGAGCGCTTAGATGGATTGCATGGAGGAGTTGCGCGTGGCATAAGACCGATCTCTCCGAGTGAGAATATCAATGAGCGGAAGACTGGAGCTAGAGTTAATGCGAAAAAAAAGAATCAAGAGCGAGATTCGAGTTTTCTAACCCACAAAAATTTATTGCTCGCCAGCTGACATCTCTGAGTATAAGAAATACCGGACGAAGCTTCAGAGGACAGTTTCCCGTTGAAAACCCTCTGAACAAGTTCGATCTTATAGCGGTCACAGGCGTTCATTAAACCGAAGAAAGGACAGCAGTGTTCGAGGACTGGAAGAAAAAACATTTGATAAAGTCTAAGCCTAATTTCCGGAAGAAAAAAATATGCGATATGAATCCGCATATCTGTGCGGCTTTGGCAGACATTCTATCTGCATGAGGCGATAAAGCAAGTTTATTTGTATAACATAAACCCAGGTCCTTTATTGTAAAGCATTCCGAGAGTGGGTTATTCTGAAAAATTATGCGACCAGGAAGTTTGGTAGGACCAAAAGACATGAAACTACACTTGGATGATGAAAACTCCATCTGCCATGTCGAACCCCATCTGCTTAAGCGTAGTAAATCGGCATTAATTTTTCTAAAACAAACAGTTGCGGAGTCCTTACAATGTGAGTAAACATACTTGAGATCATCTGCATAAATAAAGGTTAGTGAATTTCCGAGTTCAGTCGAAATATCATTGATGTACAGAAGGAAGAATAGCGGACCCACAACCGTGCCTTGATGTGAGCGAGGTGTCGAGTAGCTATTGCCGACCGTGACTTTCTGATATCGGTTGAACAGATAGGACCTGATGAAGTCGAGTAGAGGCGGCCGGATGTCGAGAGTTCTCAAATTTACTAAAAGACGTCTATGGGGCACCTTGTCAAAGGCTTTGCTAAGATCAAAGTAAATAACTACCACTGACTGCCGCTCATTACGAAAAGAAGTGATTAGATTAAAAAAATCCATGTGACATGTTTCGCAGGATCGTTCAGGTAAAAATCCATGCTGACTAGAGCTCAGAAGCCGATTAGCTAGACAGAAGTCAAGACTTTCATTTAAAATAATCCTTCCAAGAAGATTTGCTAAAGACGGTGCTTTGTGCACGCCCCGATAGCTATTAACATCGGACCCAGATCCAGATCCGAAGACAGGAATGATGGTTGACGTTTTCTATGTATCAGGAAAGAATCCTTTTGAAATATCGACCGAGAATAAAGGACTAAGCAATATGGGAAGCTAGGACGCTTGTTTAATAATCGAATTAGGGATCCCGTCCGTTCCTGAGCAGCGTGAGTATTTCAAACGGCTTATGTGTTTTTTAATAATAATAATAATAATTATTATTAATATTATTATTATTATTATTATTATTATTATTATTATTATTAAGGACCCGTCGGGGTCCAATCAAAGCAAGTAAAAATAAATTTACATGCGAATTTTAGACCAGGTAGGCAAAATCTGTACAAAGTGCAATTCATAGTTTTTGAATTAGAAGTCCGTTAAGAAAAATGATAAGCGAGGTGTGAAAAAAAACTCCATATCAAAATTTAAAAATGATTGGATTAATTGTACAGGAGAAAAAAACCCTCGAAAAAAATAGAAACAGAAAAATGCGGGCAGGACTGGCCGTCATGTGGCGGTATAGAATGGATTGTAGTTGGACATTGTCAGGACCGAAATAAATGTCAACTGTGTATGGCATTGTATAACGGATTTCATGAAGGGGTAAGTAGGCGGGTCGGTCAGGACAGGCCTGTATGTGGCCTTGAAAAAGGGAAATAGTGGCGAAATTGAAAACCAGTCTCGAGGCGATAGGAACCCAGATGCGGTCGGTTACATTCATCCGAGTCCATCCGAAGATGGGGCAAGGGAGATGCGACCAGGCTACCAGTATATGGCGAATACAGAAGGTTTCCCCAAGAACGTCGATGGAGCGCATTCTGTGAAGGCACGATGCATGAACTGAAAAATTGGAAAAACTGACATGTCTGGTGAGGGATCTTGGGAAGCGAGACTACTCACAAAGGAAGGAAATGTGAACAGATACGGAGATTTAATGGCGGCATACTAAATTCCCGGTGGCCCTTTCTCAGTGTCATAGAATAAGTTGTCTGGGAAGGATGAGGAAAAAAGTTAAATCGAGTCAGTAGTCAGATAAAGGCGTAGCCTTCTCTTAAAGGTGTGTAGATTTTCTGAAGTCCTTATATTTAATGGAAGGTTATTCCAGAGGAAAATATATCTTATTGAGATCATGGAAGACATCGATTATACTCAGTGTCCTATATGAAAGTGATCGAAAGACAGGGACGGCTTCGAACCTAGTATTGTGGTGTTTTGCAAACAAATCACTAAGCAACTCCGCCTTGTCTCTGTCCTCGTTCTGTATTTTTCACGCAAACCGTAGTTGGGAAATAGAACGACGACTTCCCTGCAACTCTTGAAGTAACGTTTGTATGATTATTTGTGCCCCCTATTCCCAGAATTTTGATTTCGTTTCCGACAGTTCCATCATCGATACCGACGATGCCTATCGTGCGTTACGCAGCTAGGTTTAGCAGGCAGTTATAGTTATAGTAGACTTGCGCAGTACCTACCGCGCTTTCTCTTTCCCACTCCTCACCTGGACCCGGGGCCAAGACTGAGTCAAGATAACCAGAGACGGGGCAGGGTGCATGTGGCTGTCACAGCCGGGCCCGCACCTAAGTGTGCCACTACAGCCCCTGGTCCAGGATTAACAACAACACCCCAACAGGGGTCAGAAGAAAAGGCGGACTGGACAGCCATGTCCACCACCCATATACCCAGCGGGAACGCAATTGCATATGCCGGCAGAGAACTAGGTGTCAGGGAAATGCCACTGCATACCAGGCTGTGAGGGCTATGGTTTGCTGATACTGGCAAGGTACACGATTTCAGACATTTTTAACTTTCGACTACACAACAACGGTGACAGTGGGCAGCGCCTGTGGTGCCGACAAGCAAGTAAATTCCGTCGAAACGGCTTCCGACAATTACCCTATGTGCATCCAGACGATACGCCGTGATCCCGCTTAGATGACGCTCTCAGCTTTTCCGTACGCTCTCTTTTTTCCACTGATACCGTTAGGTTAATTAACCTTCGCCTTGTTTCGCATTTCTCTATCACTGATTGCGTGAGTGATGACAAGTTACCACAATCCCACCAAAGGAGACTCTAGCACGCCCATTACTAGGAGAGGCTATGCTGAGAAACTAGGCTCAGGACCTACTGAAACATCGGATCCAGACAAGGTCGATCAGACATGCGTGACAAGGAATAGACGGAACGTTACACATTCTCGACGCAACGGTCAGCGCAAGACCCTTTTGATTCTTGCTGTGGCATACACAGTTAAATGTCGCCACTTTTCGGTGAAAACATCTGCAATCTGAGACAAAGCAAAATTATTTGTTGTTTAAGCAAACTATCGCTCGTTTCCTGCACTTAGAAAACGTTCCAGACTTTTTGGGCACCGAATTCAGTGACTTCAGCTTTGGTAGTGATGAATTTCGAAGCATTTTACCCTTCTGCCAAGTTTTGTATTGAGGTAAATGATGCAGGCTTTGAAGCCCGCAACCCAGGGGGTAAATAATTCTGCAGACAGCTAGCAAATGTCCAGCCATGCACCTTTGTTTAATACAGATTTCGAATCCCATGAAAAGAAATGGAGACTGAAAACATTCGCCACACTAGTGCCAACGAAGCCCTACTACATGCTACGAGTTCCTTTTAACAAGTTTTGGAAATGGAGAAGGAGATTAAGGGGCCAAAATGGAAATGGAGGCGTTGAAGAATCACCCTCGCTATTTGCCCAAATAGAAGCTATCGATGATAGCCGAAATCCATAAAAAATAAAGAGCAAACGCAAACATGGCTTCCTTAGCTGTGTCGACCAAGGAGAAAAAAATAATGGGTCTGTGGAGCTCCGTATCAAAGACGACCACTGTTTGGTGCGAGAAAAGTGTAACCAGACGGGATCACGGCGAACAAAAATGCTTCAGAGAACCCCAAAAAGACACATACAGTCAGATAAGAGAAGAAGGGTTATGCGCATCGCAAACAAGAGTCGCGTCGCCGAAAATGGCGAGTGACTAAGAGACCTCAGTAAGCACGGAGCCATGCGTTAGTTCTGACGAATCAAACCTTTCTAAATCAGAGGGTGGCGGTAGCCGGGATATCCGCGATGAAGTCCCTACATGAAAGGGAAAACCACAACGTTTTCGAGTTGATCGCGACAGATGCATTCTCACAAAAGACATGCCTGTGTCTGCTTATGACACCCCGATAGACAGAATATATCATGACATAGAAATAGTCCATCGATATCTCAAGACATTTTGAACGGAGACGAGAAATTCACCATACTGAAGGTATCAGGATGGGCCGAATATAATGCCCAAGCAATAAGCTAGACTGACCGAGACTGAGGAGACTCAAACGTTGAAGAGCTTCCGTAATCACACAAAGTTGAGGAATCAGAATCATCAGTGAAGCCATCCGACGAACTCAAAGATGATATGCCCGACGACGACATGTCTCTCGCCTTTTCGCTGATTCTTCGTATTAATTTTTCCCTTTCCCTACATTTTTTGTTCGTGTACAGTTATTCTAACGAGCTGACATGTAATCAATAGGGTTTTCAAAGGCTTTGCCTATTATCCTTACCAAATAAACTGAAATAAACTGAATGACGTCATCCATTTCGAACGTTAACACAATACAACATACTTGTCACTAAAAGACAAATAAACGTTTAGGACAAAAGGGGTCAGGCAGGCAATAAGAGCGTCGAGGCAGGTACGGCGCGCGCTCTGCAGAGTAGAGAGCAAGAAATGGCGCCGGGGAGTGCGTACGTACTACCGGGCGCCGAGGCTAATCGATAAGCAATTGCAATTGCACGCGGCCGTTTGCAGCCTTCGCGACGCCGGCGCAACCGACCTAGCAGCCAATCAAATTACGAGCTCGTCGATGCCTCAGTACCCTTATCGAATATGCTAGCTCGCGGCGAGCTTGCTTGCTATTGGGGAATGTCCGTTTGGCAAGAGTGGGCAAGAGTTGGGCAAGAGTGTCCTAGATGAGAGCCAAGTTAGACGTCACTCAGTATTTTGTGTTTTTTTCAGATATACCATTAGGTGTATTTTGATAACGCGCCCCATTATTTTATACGCGATGCAGGTTAGACTGAATATATAATAAGTTTTGCAAAGTCATGAAACTCCTTTAGTGGTGGGAGGTGGTGAAAACACATACTTCCGTTCTTCCGGAAGTCAGTTTCCCTCCTTGTTGCTGGAATTACTAGACTCCAGGCGGCTTAAGCCCAATAGGCTCCAGAAGACACGACAGGAAATAAGAACCAATGCACTGGCAACAGGCATTGAAAACTGCTTGACAGACGGGACGGGTTCTGCGCTTGCCGGTCGCTGTGTCGGCTGTGAGGAACTTGAAAAGCGAATCCAGACGATAGAAGAGAAGCAAAGCCTACTGATGAGCATCGTTGTGGCTATTCTGGAGCACAGCAGAATATAATTACTAGATAATCCGTCACATTTCCGACCGATAAGCGACGAGTATCCCACTAATAAAGGCACTGGCGCGGAAAACTCGAAGCCAGTCATGAAGAGGAAAAGAGTTATATCCCAATGAGAAACTCCAGACAAGTCAGCTCCGGTGAATAACGCGGCAGTCAGCACTAATGCTACAAAAATAAACCCGCTACGGTAATTAAACCTGCTAAATCATGGAACACAAAAGATAAGAAAGCCAAGATGGCCCTCAAAAGATCTGTCAGAAAATACTATAAGGACTGGTCGTTTTCCTAGGTAGGCGACGCTGTTACTCCGTTTCATCACAAGGTCAATTCAGTTGGAAAGTGCTATTACCATTCCGTTTGTGGAAATGAACCCGATAAGCCTTCCTGTTGTACATTGCAGAAGGGTAGTGAATGTATAAACCCCAGTGTCAGGACATGTACGTCACATTATAATCCATGCCTTATATCCCCTTCGCAGGACGAAAATCACTCTAACGTCGATGTGCCATCATCCGTCGGGAGCACCGCAATGGTGCTTTATCGTCCTAGCGCGGATGGGACAGTTATTGGCTCCTCCATAAATCGTAAGCAAAATATTATAATAAGGGGCGCCCCAGAGCCCACATCCTGCATTACAAAGGAAAGGGTGATGCATGACCTAGACCTTCTTCATCAATGCGCCAGTGCCGTCCTGAACGATGGGGAAATATTCACCGTAAAAGCCTTCCGACTAGGAAAGGAAGACCCAATCCGTGACCTCAAAACATCCCCAAGACCCTAACGAAACCCAAGCGGCGCTTCTGTTAGAAAGTAAGACGGCCTTACGCAACACGCACAAGGAAGTTTTTTTTTTCAACCAGACTACGAACTGAAGGAAAGACTAAAAGTGAGAGAACTGAGATCAGAATTGAAGGAGAGAATCGACACAGAAGAGAAAGGACTGAGGATCAAAAATGGACAAATACTCCAGACAAAGAGATCTTTGCTGTGATCAGAACCTATGACAATGAAGTCTGGGCCTCTTCAAAGAAACAATTATTGAAGGTTATCTACGCAAATATACGAGACCTCTTAAACAAACCAGACGAACTAAGAAACCTGGTTAATGAAATTAAGCCAGACATTATGGCTTTAACCGAAAGGTAGCTTACTGAAGATATTGCAGATACAGAAATATCCCTTAGAGGACATCAACAATTCAGGAGGGATAGACCAAGCTGAGGAGGAGGAGGAGGAGGAGGGGAGGGGGAGGAGTCATAATTAATGGCACTTGAAAGCTGACCGCTATGGCTGATGTAGGCAGTCTGGCACGGGATGTGAAACTGTTAAGCTTGACCATTTCTGCTAAGAATGTCGGACTATAACATTAACCTCGGAACATTGACGCAAGTCATCTATCTGATGTTAACAGTCTATTAAAATATATATCACGATGCAATTTCAAGAGGCGGTTCAATTTTTCGTGAGCACGCGGCAATTGATAGAAAAAGTTAAAGAAACTCGAGTATGTACTTATATAAAATTTTCAAATGCAGTTAATCAACTGGAAATTGGAGAATAAAATTTCGTCACTTACCGCAGAACTTAAATCCCTGACGGACACCCAGGTATATATTTTGCTTTAAATAACGATTAAGGCTGAAACTGACGAGCAAGATAAAGACAGAAAACTGGAAGAGATATCGGAGAAGTTAAAAGAAACGGAATTAGCTTTGGTACATTCCCCTCTGTGTATTATCATTTTAAAGAAATTATCAGAGGACAGGATTTCCGTATTGGAGACAGAAAATTCGTCAATCTTGGAGGCGCTAAAAAGTGCACAGGTACGAATACGACCTTTCTGACAAAAAAGAGGGAAAAAACTGAAATTGAACTGCTTTTAAAGTCCCGAGAGGTTGATAGTTCGTTGCAAATAAACCAAACGACGTTAGCGATTAATCGACTTACGTCGTTACGTAACCAGCTTACGCAGCTCCAGAACTCTAATGAAGCCATGGAAGATTTCGTGACAAGATTCAAGTCTCTGGGTATTTCGTCCTTACTATAATTTTTTAGTATTTTCTGTTCGGTCCTCCGCTGAACGATGTGCTGCAGAGAATTCCAATCTTTTACAACAGATGAAGGAAAAGAATTTGCACATCAGTTCGCTAACCGCAGAGGTCGGCCGACTGTCCGCAGAAGTAGAAAGCTTAAAAAGCCAGTTGAATTTGGATGAAAGGCTGGCACAGCATTCAGTAACCACTTGATGAGCTTAAATCCTGTTTCTAGGAAAAAATGTATGTTGAAGAAAATAGGGCTTTTGAACGACTGAAACAGAAGATTGAGGTAAAACTAATAATCCATTAATCACTGTAGACCCTGCTTTTCACTGTAGAAGGAACCGTCTCGACTGCAGAACAGTCCAGTAGCTTGTTCATGCAACTGCGAACGATGTTGAACTCTTTAACCAGCAAGAGTGATCTTGTCGCTTCACCCGCACAATGTACCTCATGTGAGGATGTGTCGACAGAGGTATCATGGTTTCGGAAGCCTTTCGTGACACGCATTATTCAAGAATTAGACTTCCTAATTGTTTTTGCCACTTTAATTGTCTACTACATTGCGCATACAACACGAAGACCCGAATGTCAACGGTTACTCCGACTAATCTTGAAAATAGAACTACGCGACCGAGCCGTTAAATATTTTTGATCTAGGAACTACATATTCTATCCTTTACCAATCTCTGTATAACCGGATTTCGAATCTGATACATCCTTTCCCAGCAATTAACAGTTAAAAATCGTGTCGAATGCAGCCTCTGAGGCTACTCTGACATCGTTCAAGATCAGAAGAAGAAGCGATCGCTGGAACAATGGCTTTATTCGCCTGACGTTTCGGATTCTCTATTGAATCCATCATCAGAGATAGTTGCGGAAAAGGGTGGCTTGTGTACAGGAAGTCGCAGTATTTGTAGCATGCGGTCGCCATGCTACCGCATACCTACAGCAATTAACCGTGCTCCCTTCATCAAGGATTGTTGCCCGCTGGTGCGCTAATTGCTTGATGGCCGGCATGCAAGTTGTTAATTGCTGACATCTCATCACCCGTGTTCGATGCTGGCGTGATGATTGCTAGGCCATCTGGCTCACCGGCTTGCGCGCTCCTCGAGTGGTCAATTGCTTTGGCCAGTCTATGCCTCAGCACAGAATATGGAGTGGGAATGTCGTTGCACTTGTTGATAGACTGAGGTCCTGTGATGTCAGCAATTAACAACTTGCATGCCGGTCATCAAGCAATTAGCGCACCAGCGGGCAACAATCCTTGATGAAGGGAGCACGGTTAATTGCTGTAGGTATGCGGTAGCATGGCGACCGCATACTATAAATACTGCGACTTCCTGTACACAAGCCACCCTTTTCCGCAACTGTCTCTGATGATGGATTCAAGAGAGAATCCGAAACGTCAGGCGAATAAAGCCATTGTTCCAGTGATCGCTTCTTCTTCTGATCAACTAATTCCTGGAACTCGCATCTTCGCTTATATCGGCAATCGTTCAAGATGTTTTGGAACGGTTGTCCAAATTAATCAAGCAAGCAGAAATGCGCACTCATTATGCGCTTAGTGGTCGCTGATGATGAACAATCAGTTATAATTGACTTAATTGAGGTGACAAAAATCATGAATCAACAGAGAACATTTTAATTTCGTAAGAATCCAAGTCAATTTGTTTGCCTTTCATAAGTTTATTTTTAGAATGATGGACTACGAGCTTATGTGTCGTCTTCTGGCTTCACAAGTTAGATCAGTGTTAAGTAATTAGGGATTCCCCATGTTGGGGCAGGCCTCGTCGAAAAAGTAGTGAAAGTGTTTATGATCGCTTTCTGGGAGAGCGTTTCCAATTTTAGTCGGCCATTTATGAATCACGCTTCACCTACTACATTGTTAGCCACCAAGCTTTTTATTGCTCGCCTGAACTCGTTTCCAGCAGCGTGGTAGGTTTCCGTTTTAGGAACCTAACTTTTGTCCGTGCGACAGACATAATCGATTTTTTATCGTAACAAGTGACAGCTTTTATTTTTTTTATTCAGGACGCAGTAATCGCAGAGTCGAAGGAATGCGAATCAACGCAAATTGACATCACGTAATGCGCGCAGTTTACCTGTTTTTATACATTTTTGACACATGTTTTTACAAAATAAGTAACTTTTCTGCTTCTGCCTCAATGTGAGCATGCTATCTGCTTGTTTATTTTCTTGAAAATAAATCTTTGTAGAAATTCATCTCGCTCTTAATTCCTGTAGTCCGGACTTTAACCAGTCTCTTGTAAGCAAACGCTTACACTTTTAGACGGCATTTTATGGACGTAAAGAAAAACGTTGTTTTTGCAAGCGTTTATCAATTGCTGACTTAACCGATATGATTTAGGAAAATGGCAATGAGACTGGTAGAAAACCTTAGAAGTTTAATCTGCACTACTTTTATGTTAATATACAGTGTGACAAGTGAGAGCTGAACCCATGGTTGATAGCAAACACATTTAAGGCTTATTATTTTGCCTTTCCATAATAAATAGGCTCTGTTCACTCCGTGTATGCACGAAAGTTTGTTTTCTTGGCCTACCAAATATTAGAAAATTATACGATGACAATACTGTTTAAAAGAAACCAATAGAATGTTTATAAGGAGGACGTTGTTGCATCATTTTGTAAAGTGCAAAACTTTGTGGTTTTAAATCCGAGCGCTCTTAACAACAGTCCGAAAAGTCTTTGATTGTTTTCTTGCCCACGTTAATTGTCAACAGTTCTTTGTAATTGCGGTCTTTTCTAAAACTTCTTTTTAATAAATTATTTATTAATTAGTGAAACTACAGGGAACTCAAAAAGGCAAAATATATTTGCCGCACACTTTTTCAAAGACGAGTTAATGACAAACAGCTTACTTAGTTCTCTCATAAAGTTTGCAAAACTACTACCGCTTGTCTTTTGTGTCAGCAACTTTTACGTTACGAGGAATGGGCTGAATATGGTTATTGTTAAGAATGTCTTGGCAGAAGCGACCGAAAGAAATGAATCATATCATCAGATTACAAAAACGTTTTCTTAAAAGTGCTGCATTTAGGTGTCCGAAAATGCAACCAAACCACAAAACGGATCTTTTGAATTTTCCTCTCCCTCCATTGCTTAAAATCACAACCAATATTATTGATTTTTTGACGGAAGCGACGTGACATTAAGTTAGGCAGCAGCTTTGGGATAAGGTTTTGGGTAGAGTCCGTTTATTTTGTAGAATCTTCTTTTCTTCTCTACCACTTAAAATTTCTTTTTCCCTCATGAAGACCATCTTTAATGTTCAGTAAAGATGCATTTTTAAGCAATATGGTAAGCAAAAAATCTGGTGCGTCAATTTACGCCTATAATTAAGGTGACTGTCATTAAAGGCAAATTCTATAAAATTTTTGCTGCTTCCGATAGATGCAGAGCCGAGCAAATGAATCAAGTTTTGAATCATGTCCGAGAACCGACTACATGCTACTTATGAGACGGTTGGTGCTGAAGAATCACAGTAATACATCTTTGGTGATTCTCCGCCAACCTTTTACCAGTGGGCTGCTTAGCCATCACCTTGCGGTTGACGAATTAATTGGGAAAGACTGCGTCCCTCATACCGCCAGCGCTAAATCAGTTTTATTCGTAACATAAATGGGCTCAAGTTGTACCGAATGAATTACACGCTTATTTCTTTAATCCTGGCCTGAACATTCTGACCTACTTTAACCAATAATATTGTCGATAAAAATAGTGGGATCAAAACGACAGTTTACTCCTATTGTTCTTCGTCCGACATATATGCCTCAAGTGGAGAGGGCCCGCTGCTTCTGGAAAGCAAAACGAAAGTAAAAATGGGGAGATTCGGGCTTCTAAATGGGCAAACTAAGGGTAGAAAGTTGGAATGGGACGTCCGGATTTCAGGCTTCTGAGAAAACAACTTCCATACGGCTAGGTTTCGCAGTGTTTTTTTACATCTCTGGCTGAGGAGGCAGAGCAAAACCCGACACTCTTATCCCGTCTAGCGACCTTTCTAAAACTATTTCGAAATAACGTCCCGTTATCAGGAAGTTTGGGTATTCTGCGGACTGTATTTGATTTATATTGGGCAATCAAGGGAAAATGAATCAGAAATGACCTTTCTGATTTTGTACTTATCGTCTATGCTTCTCGATTATCTTCTGCCATGCTGAAGAATGGAACTCCAAGTTCTCGCATAATGCTCGCGTTCAATCCTGCTACCGAGATGGATGGATGAGGGCTACCCCGGTGAGACAATTTTTATTAGATCTACCCACTTTACATCCACGTTTGCGCCATTTCGACCATGATCGGAACTATTCATAATATTTGCCAAAACAATTTTCCAGAATTAAGAAGCAATTGCGGCGAAATTCAAATTTCGGCTTGACAGCTTAGCATTTCTCTTGCTTATTTTCCGAATTCGCTCTTCTTTGTAATCTTGTTAACTGGTCTAAAAGCGGACAAAAGCAGATAACATGACCGCAATTTGTACTGTTGTTCAAAGTCTATTTAAGAATAAGAGTTACATCTGCTTTTGGGCATGGCGGGTCCTCATTTTATGCCATTTGCAAGTTAAATCCCCAAGGATGAACGTCCTTCATTCAGTAACTATAGTCACATTTAAACCAGCAAGTAAACTGTGTACTTAGCGGTCCATCACATCGAGTTTATGAGACCGGCTTATGTTGGCCCCAGTGAGTTTTTCCTTTCCACAGAGAGCGGTGACTGATTTAACGAAGACTTTCTTCAGTCTGCGAATCTTGGAAATCCGCGTTCCCAGCTCACTGCTAGGGGAAGTTCCCTCCAACTAACAGTGCACTGCCACGAGCACCTTGTAGAGCCTTTCCAAATTGAATTCACAAGTGGTACTGATTCAAACCTTTCAGCACACTTTGTTCCCTTGCTTTCATCTGGGACTCTAAGCAGGTTATTTTACCAGGGGTATTTAAAACCACATGGGAATGGTCATTTGTTTGCGTGTTCCAATTATAGAACGCAAAACAGAACTTCATTCTGACTGTGAAATCTGGCCTAAAACCCACGCAGGCGCTTGCATAATCACGAACGACCAAATACTTGGGTAATGTTAAAAACGGAGACACCGAAGATTGGGATGGCCATTTCTGGCTTGCTTGCCTTCGTCAGTCGGCTCTAGTCCGGCGGGCTCGAAGTTTTAACCCGCCGTCGGTGGAAAATTATGCAGACGCCTGATTAGCAAAGGACTTACAGGGTGAGCCAGGCAGCCCCACACCGATCGGCTATGACTGGAAGTAATTGGGTGTTGTTTACCGATATTTTGGGATTTCGGGAGAAACCGAGCGGCCCTTCTCACCTTGGGGCCAGAGACCAGCTCTATCGCAGGCGGTTGGGTGTTGATGATCAATCAGAAATCCAGCAACGAAGTCAGGGCAATTTATTAAAGAGCCCCTTCTCAACGCTCAACTGAATTCGGTTTCTGATATAGAAAATGCCCTGAACGGGGTTCGGCTGCGGCTGTTCGGAACGGTCAGGACTAGCTAATGCACCTCCCGATGACAGTACTTCTTGGTTATTAGTGTACGGACTTCAACTTAGTAGATCGTTGAAGCATTTATGTTGAAATTTATTTTACGCGAAAAGTAGGGTCTGTGGGCTTCGTTCTTCTCGTCCGAGATTTGTACAATGCTGAAGAGTCTCCCAAACACTGTAAAGGTCCAGAAATGTTGGAAGGCCGTATGAAAGCAATTGCTCGATATACAGGGCTGAGGCGTTTCGTACCTTTTAATTTCAGCAGGAGTTGGTTTCGTTCTGAATCTGAGGGGCACGGACGCACAACCGATTGCTGCATTCTTTGATACTGCACGCATCAAGAAGAATGCGGGTTCTATCGGCACCGGTTTATCTAAACCTGATGAGATTTTAAAAAGGCGGAATTTGGTACTGCAACGTCAGTACTCTTGCCTGCTGACCAGGCAACCCTTTTGAAACGATGATGCTGCCCGTCTTCTCAGGGTCCAACGTTAGATTTTCTTGAGCCTCCATATCTGGAAGCCACGTGAAATCAGAGTCGGAGGACAGTAGTCGAATTTGAATGTGAGCCTGTCGAATGTGGTGTGGTCGACAAGACAAAGATTCCAAATCCTAAGTTTGGGAAGACGGAGTGGGTTGAGGGAGTTGCCGCGAGCGCGCTCTCCAGGCAAGTTGTTTTGTGTCCGCCTTCGAGGTGCTGAGACCCAGCTCGTGTGTGCGCCTTTCGTTGACTCCGCATCCGCCAGCCAATCAGAGTGGGGACAGCGTTGATTGGCTTCGAGCACTCGCGTGGCTAGTAACAAGCCTCGCGCGTCTCAGCAGCGTATCGACAAGGAGTGTGAGGCGGACAGAAAGGCAGCGTGACGAAGGCGGAGGGCAAGGAGACGCGAACTGCCACAAGCCTTCCCATGCATATATAAACAATACTTCGAATAAAAAAATGCTGTTCTATGCAAAACTAGCCCTAGTGGTTTGCAAGGTAGCTTTTGCTGTCATAACTGCGGCACTCCATCCCGAAAATATATGCCTCAGTGGTGCTGAAAATGTGACCAAAAAGTTCTTCTCTTCTGAAATTGACTAATTTTAACTGGTCGTTACTCAGTTCACCTTCAGCAGGCTGATCGTCAGCAGATCGCTATTTTCTCTGATGATGGATTCGAGTGAGAACCCGAAACGTCAGGCCAATAAATTTCTTGTTCAAGTAATCGCATCTTCGTCTTCTGAACAAGACACATCCGTTAACAAAAACCTTGGAATTTATCTGCACTGTCAGCAGGTTGGCAACTCTGATATAAGAATCACAGAGCAGTCCACTCGCCACTGATGAACGCTGTGGCTTCCTTTGATTATCTGCTTAGCCGGCGGATGCTCTCTGCGATTTCACTGGACATCGTAGGGGCGCACTTTAGTTTCAAATTTTGGAATAGATGAAGGTTTATTTTTGCCCTAAACGTTTCACAGTTTGTGCTCGAGCACGTGGAGCGTTCGTCTGCTAGAAACGGAACACTGGAAGATGTTGATTGCTCGGCAATGGGAAGGAGATGTGAGCAGCAGCTTCGGTGCTGATC